GTAGAGCGATCAAACAGACAACTGAGAGGCTTGTACCCCCGGCTGGGGAGTAAACCTCATTCTTCCTGCATTTTCCTCAGCAGTTTATCCGCTCTTTGCCCCATGTTCCTCGGGGTTTCCATTCTGACATTGAGCTGCAGGCCTCGCATGACGACGAAGCCATACTTCGTCACATGGAGGCCCGTTCTGCCTTGTGTGCAGTAGCGTGCTGTCTCTGCGGAAACATACAGAAGCACTCGTTACACCCTCAGAATGCCCGTTTGTATAAGTGAAACCCCAGAACACGCTTTGCAAGTTGCAGTGGTTTTTGAACACTTTGTGAAGATTCGTTGTGGAACATGGCTGATGGTGGAATTGAACAGATTAATCTAATACCGAGGACCGCATGGCCAGGCGCGACAAGTACAACGACACTACGTTCGCAGAGGTACGCTCCACAATCTGACATTGCAACCCATGCTGCGCACGCTCCGGCTTCTCCTTTCCCCGATGCTCTGCAGAAGGGTTCCCGCCGTTTTAACTGTTGGGGTCCGGGGGTCCAGGGGTCCAGGAGGTGACCAAAACCCTTCTGTGCTTGTCCACAGAACATCCGCAAAGTCCGCGCAGCTTTCGACAAGCGCGAGTCGTTTGCAAGCGTTCCCGAGTGTCGCATAGCAACTGCCGGTATCACCCTCGTAAATGTAGTCGCTGTTGGACTTCTTGTCCCACTGTGTCTCCAAAGTGACAACAGTCAAAGGGATTGGGCCCCTTGGAGTCGCCATCCTAGTGACGCCCGCTTGGGGACCAGAGTGGAAAGAGGAGTGGTGAGTGGAAAGTGGATTGGAAGGTAAAATGGGAGACTCGGGAGATGAGCGTGGAAAGTGGTGTGCAAAGTGGAGTGGAAAATGCATTTCAAAGTGGAGTGGAGCGTCAAGTGGAGAGCGGGCATGAGTGGAGTGGAGTGCAGGTTGGAGTGGAGAGGAGACTGGAATAGAGTGAATAGAGAATGGAGAATGGAGCATGTAGATTGGCCGGGAGCGTGGAGAGTCTAGACTCAAGAGTCGGGACAGAAAAGTGGACACTGGACAGTGGAGTGGAGCGTGGAGATAGGAGGGCAGAGTGAGGTGGAGAGTGGGACGCAGAGAACACTGGAGTGTATTCGCGATGTGTTCTGCAAATCGTGTCGCATGCGGCGCATGCAATCTATGCGAATTACGTTGCGTGCGTCTGCAATCGGCTTCATGGCTCCTATCAGGTTCGAGTCATTACCTAACTGGAAGTATTTGGATGTAAGTTTCTTCCCCCCCTTTTGAAGGGAATTACCAAGCTGTGCCTGCGCTGTTACCATTCAAGCCCTGGATTGGATCCGTGCAGTCGCAGGGCACAGACTATGTGATTGGCTGCGGCTGGAAGGCCTGCGCAGATTCATGTGGAAGAAGGATGTTTGTCAGTGCTTCTTGCAGAGCGGAGCTGCAGAGTTAGCCACATCATGCTGTGGAGTGGTTCATTCGCTCTGCACTTGCAGACGTGCACAAGCTCATATGTACCTGTATTGCCCAACTCCATGTGGTCCTATCAAGATTTGCACATACATGGCCATAGCCATCAATGCCCCTTAAAGCTCATTGCTGTTTCATTCATGAAGCCCTTAACCAAGCATGCTTCCTTGTGGCCAGCCCTGGACACCACCATGCCACCAACAAGTGGAACAAAAGATGGACCCGTTCGACGGTGTCATTGCATGATTATCTTGTTAATTGTCTACCCTTCTATACGTTTTGTCTTGTCCCCATACCCGTTCTACTAGCATTAACACCTGCGCAGCCCCATATCATATTCATATCGATTCATATCACTTCATAACCCGTCTCATCCTGGCAGGACTCAATGCCATGCGTAAAGAATCCGTGAATCATCGTTATCCTGCCCCGATACAGCTAGTGGCATGCGTATATGAATCGAAGCGACGGCACCCTGTTCAACGTCCCCAGCACTGAATCACTCATTTTGCAATTGTACGTATCCATCCACTGGCAGCTTAACTCCGGATGCTGCTCACAGCTTCACCTATCAGGTGACACATGATCAAATCCGGATTCAGGGGCAGACCCCTTCTTTTGAAGGCCTTGCTTGTGGAATCCCAAAGCGTAGCTTCTGCGTTTTCGTAGACTATTTCGGTTGTAACTTCTGGGAACGGCATTTGAAGTTCTGGCGGTGCAAAGCCCCACACCAGCCCAAAACTTGATGCCTTCTCCCGGAGACACCGCTTATGTTGTGTTTCCTTCTGTGTCTCTGAGACAGACAAAAGCTCCCTTGCCATTGAGTAGTCGCAGCAGCGCATGACCCGTCCGATCAAGTACCCCATGCTCACTCATTGTAAACCCACCACCCAATAGTTCAATGCTACTCCCCAACAGCCAGTGGAGACTCCTTGCCGTCTCGGACCGGACAACATAATCTTAAGCCAATGATCGTCGCAAAACGACCCGTGGGCGTGGGCTGCCTAGCATCTGGTGTCTTGTTTTGACTAACCGTAGGAATCCTTATAGGACATCGGAAGATTGTCCTGAGCCCAATGATCATCTTTTTGAACATATTTTCTGATCCAAGCCTCACCGCTGGGCAAGTGTGACTCTTAGAGCCCAGTTTTGTACAGCAGTCCTTTGTAATTACCGTTATAGTTGTATCAGCATCACGAAGACGTGGGGGAAAGTTGATCCTGATGTGCACCTTTGTCGCTGCTTGCTGCCTAACAGTGGCTCGGGAAACGTGAGGAAGCATGCAAAGCAACGACAGATAAAGCAACGACAGATGAATCAGACAGCCTTGTGATGCTTGCAATCTGGCAGACTGTGCCAAAGCAGGCGTACTGTCAGCGGTCCCCAGTGGCGCCCATGTAGAATTGGAAGTATACCCCGGTTTCAACCCCCGATCTTGAAAAGTTGCTTGAGAGATAAGCATGGAGAAAGACGGAATTCGATCAGAGATCGCTGCATACCTAAAGGACGCGATGGCTGTGCTGCTTGGCTCCTAGTTCGGACTCAGGCGACCTAGGAATGATAGGGATATTTCGGAAGAACTACGAAAGGCTTACTTCCATCATAGCCTTTCGAAGCCAGTGGCAACCAACATGGATAATATTACCCCGACGCCCCTATTCTCCCTGCGCGCTTCCCCTTGTACAGCTCCTTGCTCTTTATGTTGTTGTCACTCTCCCTCCCTCCCTCTCTCTCTCTCTTTCTCTCTCCCTCTCTCTCTCTCTCTCTCTCTCTCATATTACATCATTATATATTTATATATATACACATGCGTGAGGATGTATATGTTTTAGCCCTGCTAGGGAAGCCGAGGCTCCTGGAGGTACGGCCGGCCAACCCACTGCTCTTCCTGTTGGCCTACTGCGACTGCGGCTGATAACTGACACGAAGAAGTAGAAGTCGAAGAAGTACAGGAAAGCTTAGAAGAAAGGGGCGAGATAGAAGGGGAAAGTGCGAATAGCAGCAGCAACTGTAGCGGATATTATCAATGTGATTGCATACATGGCATCATGCAATGGTAGGAAAAGGGGTAGACATTGTGTCGATGTATAAGGGCTGTAAGCTACTTGGGGTCATACGCGGCATGCAAGAAATTGCTTTCAGAACTCTTTTTTCGGTTGCAGGATGGTCGAAGCAGTTCGGTGTTCTGACGCTGCGATACTAGGTCCTGAGTACCAAAGCCCTGAACGCCTCAACTGCACACCCAGCTGGCCGGCCTTTGAGGGAAGATTGACTGCAGATGTTTTCGTAGCTTCAAAGTCTGGTAAAGGTGTTGACTTGAAATTTGCCATGAGCAGCAAAACATGTTTGGTCAGACCCTTGTGAAGGCAGCCTTGCAGTTCGTCGGCAGTTGGGTTGAGTATACTGCACCAAAGGATACTCAAGACAGCTTTCATGGAGACTTTGCAGAAGGTTCGCGTAACAGAGTTCAAAAACCTGTGAGGAGTCTGCCAAAAAGAACATGTCTTCGATTCAGGCTCAATTAGTCGAGCCCACAAGAACATTCTCAAAGCTTTGCTTGACAACCCGATCTGCCAAAGACCCGGAAGCCAAGCCCCAGACCTGTAGACCCTAGCAACTTTAGCCCGTGACTCTCAACGCATCACATTGCAACCTGAAGAATTCCTTTGTTGCCAAGATCATTCCCCTAGACTGGCTTGATCACTGTTTCCCATCTAGTCCACCTCCAAATCCTCGTCAAATTGTGCAGGCTTCTATTTAACCTCCGTCCCCGGACCTGAAAACTCCATAGAGTTCAGTTAGGCAAGCGGGCTGCGGATCCTGAAAGTCTGGAAGGTCTGGCGTGGTACTTGCTGTTTCTTGGATGCTCAGTGTGGAGTCATTGGAGCCTGTCAGCATACCGATATTAGTGAGCTAGTGAACTTTAGTACAGGAACCCCGACTTCAGCAAAAAGATTTCATCCTTTTGGATGTGCATGCGTGGCCCTTCAACAGCGCATCAGGGCAGCTTTCTAGGCTTCTAGGTTTTCCGTTAAACTTACCCCTACAAATGTTCGTCGCAAGCTTTAGGCGCTGCGAAGGACCTCGTCCGACCCCTCTTACCCCCAACGTCTCCATAAGCTAGAAATCATGTTGCCAACCTTGTTGCTTACCTAGCTCCCAGAAGACAGGGCAACAGGCAGGATCGGGGGCAGTCAAGTCTCGCTTGTGTTGAGCCACTTACAAGGTTGCATTTTTTTTCGTTCAGTGAGACTGAATGATTGCAGCAGGCACCGTGGTGACTAGTATGGACAGATCGCCACATCTACACCCCGTGCGCCCCAACCCTAATGTCCGAAACGTCTGTCCTGTCCTGTTGTAACTTAGCACTGCATCTTTGACTTTCCGAACCAGTCGCAACTACCCGCACGTGTCTTACCGATGTCATGCTTCTACTGCTCATGCCTCTACTGCATGTCTCGATTGCCACGAGCGTGCTGCTGTTTGAGCTTCCATGAAGTGCCCGCAAAGCCTTTGACCGAGGAGCGCTTGCCCACGTTCACGGCCCTGCTGGCATGACAACGTCCATTCGGCCTTCGGGTGCGCCTTCCCTGCGAAGGGGCTCTGCAAAGAGTGAGATGCGGGTCAGGAACATTAGGGGTTTTGGGTTCTTGGTCCATGGTCTGCACTGTCTCAAAATCTGAGTTGTTTGGCCCGCAGGCGATGTGTACAGGCCTTTGAGCTTTTGAGGTGTCAGGGGTTTCGGGACCAGTGGTCCGCAACGCGCAGCCCCAAGGTGCCCGAAACCCTAATCCCTCCTTGATCCTTGAACCTCCCACATCCTATTTAATCTCCCTATGTAATCCCTCGATAGTTCCCATTTCATGTTCGATGTTCTTTGCCATTTGCATATCCACTCTACCAATATCCATCCTTTTACATTCCCCTATGTACCCTCATATAATCCTTATACATATTTCTGTAATGCCTATTTATCCCCATATCTCGTTGATTCTCCATCTATTCCGCAATACGAAGGGCGCTGCGGCGACTCCGCCCTGCACGGGGCGGCGTGGACCCTGAGGCAGGCTTTGTGCTCTCGCCTCTCCTTTTGGTTAAACCCCAAGCCAAACCCAAAACCTAAATGGTAGTTTCCATTACCGTTTCCGCTCCTCTATATACCCCTAGAATCCGATTTAGGATGAGATTGGGGGTTGGTATGTAGTTCTGCGTTTTGCTGTTGACCTCAGCATATTCTTCTTGTTAGTACTGGTCAGGTGGATGGTGATGATGTGTGCCCTTGAAGCTCATGTGATTGTTTCTCGCTTTGGGCTTCAAGGGTTGTAGGAATGTACGTCAATCATTGAGGCTTGAAGCAGGGTCATACTGTATATATGGTGATGCTGATTAAGGTTCTGGTTTGAGGGGTTCAGGGTCGATGAAGTTCTGGGAGTACTTTCACGCGGATAACATCAACGAAGCCTGGCTTTGCCACGAAAGTGCTTGACGTGTGTTATGCCGTTTTAGATCATCTGTGCTCAAAAACACCCACCAACCCACCCGCCCACTCACACAAGCGGTTGTCTGGTTCCCTAGTATACGACCCCCCACACGTCATCCTTCTGCTTAAACAGGACTCTCAGCTTCTCCTTGCCAGAGACTCAATACATGTTTAAACCCGCATGGCAAAGCCCTAAGCGCATACCTTAGACAAGTAAGCACCAAACTCCCCCAGGTGTTCGCTGCGTTTCTTCGTCTCCTCACCGTCCCACTGCCTGGCCGAATCTCAGAGGTCTCTCTCTTGTTTCGACTACTTGCATTTCGGGTTTAGTCGCATCTCAATTGTGACAAGGATGTACAGAGCTGATATATGCACAACTACTATATGGAGAGATGTAGGGATATGCAGAGTGTAGGGGCATAGGACTCACTGCTTCCTGAACGTGGTAAAAAATCCAAAGCACACAAGATGTTTAGGAGCTTCTCAGGGAGGTCATTGGCGATGTCACTTGAAGTCCTGCTCCTTGAGGGAAGGTTTCCATGAACATTTAGAGTCATAAACAACTTAGTTGTACCCAACTTGTTTTGTATGTCGAGTTGGGGTTCAATGTCTCTGACGATGTGACTTCTGGGTGGCCATACATACAGTGAAGCATTCAGAGACGGATGGAAGTTTCGCAGCATGATGGGCATGAGGGTGCCCGCTCTTTCTGAGAAACGCTCGTATCTTCTTGCTAAACCCCCTCGGCAGGACCTTTCACAAGAGTTCAACGTGGCGGCGGCAGGCCCCTGATTCAGGGACCTGGGTTCAGGGACACGGGTATCAGGGATTGAGGAGGCTCGGCTTTGCACTAGGTGCTTGTCAAGGTTTCAACCATCCATACATCCCAACAGGAGGATGCTCTGTCTTTTCAAAGAGCCCCACAGGCAAATGTGACGCTAAACACAAGCATATCTCTGGAGGTTGGATTCTGTAGAGAGTTACATGTTTTGACATGGTGCAGATGGGCGTTACAGCTGCGATGTCAAGTGGTGAATTTGGTAAGGGTTACAGAAACACAGCAACATACCGTTACTGGGTTTTGTTGATGCAATTGCAGTCAAGACCTCAACACTCTCTGAATCTAATCGTAAGTTGTAGGCATAAGGACTTATTTATTGCCTGACACATAACTGCGCTCCTGGCTTTAGTAACTGTTCCTTCATTCACTAGATGGTAGCCATCAAAAGAACCCGATCCTTGCTGTAACTTCAGATCCCAAAGTGGCTCCATTCATCTTTAATTGACGTTGGGAGGTGGAAGCGTCGGATTCGAAGACTTCAGTCGCATCATAGATGCCTGCAACTCCTCCGCATTTTTGTTGAGGGATATGTTTGCGGCATCGAGGCTAGCGCGTTCCATGAGATCGCTGAACATACCACCCTACATTACATGACCTAGTCCATGTGAGTGAGTGAGTGAGCGAGCGAGCGAGCGAGTGAGTGAGTGTCTGCCCTCCGCCCTGCGGAAACTTCTTTGCCCCTCCGCATGCGTGATCGGGGCTCCAGCACAGAGTTCAACGTTCTGGGCATCTCAATCCGAGCGGGGGTATTACAGGGCAGGGTGTGCCACCCCCCAACTTCCATGGGCCGGCCCCTCCAAGCAGGGCAGCTTGGGTTGGAATTGGTCACTTGGCAAGACAGCCCACTTCGCAGGTAGAAATCCGTGGAGCAGAAGCTTCAGGTTTGCTGCCTAACCTACAAGTTGCGGGGTTATCAAGTCGAATTGCTAAATGCAACCATGCCCGAGGAAAGTTTGAGGTCGTGAATGGGGGAAACCTCATTTGTCTTTCGAACGTGCTTGATAAGTAGTCTGCGGGCTTGAAACCGATTTTCAGCTGGAGCCGCCACAAGGTGATCAATATGAAGCCAGTATCTGCCCTCTGAATATGATACGCTACATGGCTTTTGTGCGGAGAATTCTTTATTGATGATTCGGGTACAGCAGCTTGTTCGGAGTCCTTGTAACAGCAATGGCGTAACGGCCCATGTGTCAATGAGAGAAGGGCATCCAATAACATGGAATTGGTGCCGTGCTGTATCGACGCACAGAGAAATGCTTCAGGGATGGCACAGTTCAGCAACTGGCTCATAAAGACGGCTTGTGCTTCTTGCGCTCCATGACGCTTTGCCATACGCGAATCATCATGCCGCATACCCGCGTTGCCACAAGGGTGCATTGACTTCCACAAGGCAACCCATTCATCAATATATATATGTATGCAGTCCAGGATTTTGCGGCAGAGTGGGGGCATTTGCATGTGGAGCCTTACATCCTAGTTGGCTGCCAGGCCTCGAAGCACATGAAGGCCTTGAAGGCAAAGGGCCTATGAGTTTTTCTGTTCCGGGTGGCAGGGCTGAGTCATTGCGGTTGAGGGGAGCTTGAGGACACTGAGTTCGGCGCCCTGTGTTGAGAAGACGGCTTCATTGGTTCAGATGACCCTCTTGTGTGCAGCTAGACTTACCAATGCTAATGCGGTGGCTGGCAGGGTCCAGGATCCAGTGCATCCCGCCCAAAGCTCTTCCCACGGCTTTTGTTTTCAAACATGCCCTGACACCAGAGCCTAGGGCCTAGGTGCATTCTCTTGCAACCCTAGGTTGCTTTGCCACCAGAGCGGGCCCTCAATGCTTCAAGAATCAAGACGTCGCCCGGATCCTGTAGGCCTCAACTTTAACCTTCAAGACGGCATCGATCGATAGTGCATCCGCATCCACCATATTGCAAATCGCACCTTTGATGTTTAATGATGAAGTCTCCAAGTCCATTTCTCCAAAATGTGCAGCATACAAACCCTGACTTTGTGCCCTTTGGCATGGGTTGCCCTATCCACTTTGTAGAGGCATGTCACTGAATTTTGAATACAAATCCAGTAGCTCAACCCTTTGTGCATTCAACTTGGTTTAGGGTTCAAGGTTTGGGTTGCCTTTTATCAGCCTTGAAGCCTTCAAACCCACGCTTGTTGTATGCGGTCCCAAGTACTTCTGTGAAGTTTCACACTGTGCCAGCATCCCTTGAGATGGTGTGTACATGGCTTGCACCGTAGCAACTAGGTTGGCCAGAATGCTTCTTGTTTGTTCGACCACTGAAGTAGGCGATTGATCCAAATTCGCTGCACATTTGGGCCCCTCATATTCAGGCTATCCAAAGAGTGCATGCCTTACGTGTGTCGCAGGGCACCAGCAATCCCTACAATTACGGGAGCGACATTTACACACCTCTATAACCCACCTGCTGGTGGCAGGCACACGGTTCGTGTTCAACGCGTGCGACGCGACTGGAAGGGGGGAGCTCCCCCTGGAGGAGCTGCTCAACTCTTTGCAACTCGCCTCGAGAAAATCCATCTCTTGACTAAGTTGTATAGCGCTGTCAATCAAAGGTTGTTGCATCAGTTCCGAGGCAGTATGTTGCTGGATTGCTACAGGGCCACATACTGTTGACTTGCGCATGGTCCAGTGTGATCGACCGACCAAACTTGGCCAGCATGGCTTGGAAAAAGCAAGGAACGGTTTCTACGGAGGTCTCATAGCTTGGCTCTCTCTCCCAGTGACATGTGCAGTGAGTCCATATAGACCGACCCAATCCTCAGGTGGGGATCGCCTTTATCCCCCAAGCCTCAACCAAGTAACGTGATCGTTCTTGCTGCTGTTATGTTCGTTCTTCACCACCGTCTTTTTTTTACGAATTGCTGGTTAGTTTTGCCATCGTTCTTACTTGCGGTCTGTGTTTCTTTTTAAGATGTATTTGCGGCGGCCATGGCGATCAATGCCCTCAGGATGGGCATTATGTCCATCTACGATCCGGAGAAGCGCCAGGGCTCGAAGAAGGCAGGATCTTTCAGGTTCTGGGCTCTCCTGTGATACCAAAGGTTACGGTTTGCCGTCAAGAGGGTTGGGGTGGCAGGGTTACGGCTCAAAGTGGGTTTGAAAGTAAAGTCACAAAACACAACAGGCATGGCCCGCAGCTGCGTGGCAGCATCTAGTCCTTACTACGTTTCCCTTTATCATGTAATGCCGCCCATCCACGCGTCCGCTTCTGCACCGGGCCTTGGAAGTACCGGTGTTTTAAAGGACATGGGCAATGGATCCCCACTAGCAAGCCGCCATTCTCTATACAAAGTACAAGGTAGTTCAGGCATGAAAGGTTCGGGCCCATACTTCGCTTGCGCACTTCTATGCCCATTCGGCGACATGTGGGGATAAGCTTTGCAAGCATTCACTTCTTCGCACGGTGCTCGTCTTTTGTGTCCTGAACGTTTTGGCCTGTCACCCTTTCCCTGCTTGCGCATGTTGAGGTAAGACAGCACAACATGATCTGTGCATGTTTCTTGCTTCTCAATGGCCTGGACTGTCTGACCACTACACACTCACCACCTGAAACCCCAAGCCTTGCTGCCATGTAAGTGGTGCTTGCCCATGTCAGGGAATCAGGACCCCCCGTAGGATGGTCATGACCATCCCCTTGGATTGCGGCTGGTAGTGGACAGGACAAATCTGAGCATGTCTAGCTGTGGTCAGTAGGGCATCGACGAATGAACACTTCCTAACCACTAACTGTCCCCAAGAGCCTGCCCAGCATGGAACCCCATGTAGGTCCTTTCAAAGTAGACGTTTGTCCCTCCAGGGCTCTTTTCAGTTCGCCACGAAAAAGTACAAGTAGACACAATCGCTTGGTTTAGCGTAGTCCCTCAACTTATCTTGCCGGCCTGGACTTCAAGAAAGGACCCGAGGCATATTTGGGTAGTGCAGACGGGGTCATGGGATCCCAAACAGACTTCTAGAAGTAGTTCGGAGAAACTGCAAGGCCCTGTATGCTGTGAGAAGAAATCAGTGATGTCAGCCTCAACCCACACCCCCAACCCCAAGTCAACCTATGATTGCCTATCTCCCCGTAAGTTTGCTGGATGCTTGTGAGTACCATAAGGCCCTCACGATAAAGGGAGGCCCCTGTATGTCTTGGGAAGAAAAGTATCCCTGAACTTACCGATGGTGAGTGGGGAAAAGGGAATATACTCCCTATAGTTTAGCTAGTCCCTGTTGAATCCGTATCACCTCTGTATAATCCGTATAGTATATGATCCCTATGTAATCCCTACAGAACCCCTATAGAATTCATACATATATATATATACATATATATTCCCTGTACAATTCCCATGTAACAGATTCCGTTGTTCCCTATCGACCCCACCCCCCCAGTAAGTTTGGAGGTGGGAGGCTTGACTCGCTCCTCATCGGCCACCCCAGCGATGCTTGGCCGATGTGCAGGGACATGTGGTGGGTTTAGTGGGTTTTATGCTGTTCTACAGGGAAATGTGGTGGGTTGAGTGGTTTAGTGGGCTCATCAAAGGATCACCCTAAACCCTAAACCCAGTGTGGAAGGGTGTTCTTGTTTGCGAAGGAGGGAGGTGGGGTGTTCGGCGAGTGGGGAAGAGATCAAAACGATCAAAACCATTTTGCTTTATTGTGCCGGGCTGAGAGTGTCATATCACCTGGCGCTGACGGAATTTTCAGGTTGAGAAGGCTAAGCACTGCCAGCTTCCCAAGGTGAATTTTACGTTTTTGGTCGTTTGCCTTCTTGATTTTCTGCTCCGCAAAGTTAGCCGTCTTTCCTAGAAGTCGACACAATGTAATAAGATTACAGTGTAAGAAGATTACCAAGCCCGTGACGTCCCAGGTATTTGCAAAAGGTTGGAAGCCCTTTTTGCACAGTCTTCTCAAAGAGCATAGGCATTTTCTCATACTGGCAAGCCCCAAGCTTGAAAACCTCCAATCCCAACCACCTGAAGACCCTAAGCACGCCCCGTATACACAGCAAACCTCAAAGCCTTAAAGGCCTCTAAATGAATTCCCTCCCACTAATATTCATCTCCCACCACCCCCTAACATCAAGTACACCCACTGTGTGGTATATAATATTGCATAAGGAGTATTTAATATGAGGGAGTGAGTTTTCCCCACAAACATCCCAACAGCCCCCAGGCAGCTGGCTGCAAGAGGCAGCCTCACGGAGCTACTCCCAGCCCTGGGCAGTGGCTCTGTTAGCAGCATCTGGGGATAAGGGATTAGGGTTTAGGGATTAGGATTTAGGGGTATTGCCCCCCAATAATGGAGCATCAATGGAAAAGATGATGGGAGCTGAGATTGTAAGGTAGTTTATTGGGACTAGGGTTTAATGTGAGCTTTAGTCTCAACTGCCTAAATAGGTTTATATCAGGGATTATATAGAGGACTGCTATAAGGGTTATTAAGGGGNNTACTAGGAGTTTAGACTGTAGCTCGGTTTATCAGCGTTTGGGGTTAAGGTTAGATACCATGATTTTAGGGTTTCTACGCAGGGCTTTCGCGCCCGGAAATGTCGTAACTTCTTGTGGGTGGTTTGTAGGGACATAGCCAGCAGAGGGGGACATGTGTAAGCCAGCCAAGCCTCAAACCCTTAACTGCCAGTCTGCCCAGAGCCCCTTTTTCCCCCTTCAACCCTCTGCCCCGACCCGCCCAACCCCGTTCCTTGGCTTTGTTCTTCAGAGGCGAGGTGCCACCAGCTGATGTGCTCCGGGATGAGATGCGCCCAGGGCTGCAGAAAGACGAGAGTTCATGAACTGTCAAGGTTAGTTTGGTGGATTGGGCGCAGAATTCGTGTCGAAGCACTTATGATGTTTGGGCTTGGTGCGGATCTAGTTTTCAAAAGACGTGCTAGAATGAGCTAGAGGTGCCAGGTGGGCTGAGCCCGGTTTGAGAGCATCGCCCAGGGAATCTCACTGCTTCAGCCAAGGTCAGCCTGTTCAGCGGTATCTGGAGTCGTGTCATGTCCTACTGTCTGTTGCAGAGCTGGTTTGACAGTGGGCCGTCAACGCTTCATTCCCAGACGTCCAACCAACAGCCTTTCTACTGGCTTGCAGCATAACTCTGAGCTCTGAACACTCAACCCTAGAGGTGTTACAAGAGCTTACCACCTTGTCATAGCTTGCTGTTGCAGGCGCGACTTCTCACTCAAGGACCTTTGCTTGTGAGTGGTAGGGACCTTGGCCGGGCTCGACAAAGCTGGTTCGCAGTTACGCTTGCTTCGGACCTATAGGCGCTTTGTTGTGCTGAACCCTAGTTGGTTTTTGGTCTAGAGCTGCAAGCGCTTCTCGGGGCGCATGAAAGACCGTTTGCAGAAAAGAGGGGGGGGGGGGGGGGGGNNCGGAAGGGTAAGGCAGGCTGGATGCGACAATCTAGACCCTAGCTCAAATCTACTCAGAAACACCCCAGAACCCGCAAACCTTGAAACCGAGACCCTGCTGGCGTTGTCTTCATGATGGTGAGGGTGTTGCAGCGGCGATGATGGTGATTGTGAAGTTGTCGACTCTTCGATTAGCTGGTAATGACTGCATGCTGTCTTTCATCGTTTACAAGACTGTGCTTACTGCCGTGGCCTGTTTTCCAGCTTCCTCTCTTCCTCCTCCTCTCCCTCTCCTAGTACCTTGTCTTATGTCACGCATGCAGCAAATGGAGCTGTGGAGGATCGCGTTTCTGCCGCGGATGTTTTCACGGCACGCTGGGCTCTGCAGCGCAAAGCCGCCGAGGAGTCAAAAGTGAAATTGCTGTCTTGACGTTGTTTCATCCTGTCACATGGAAAGTCAAGGGTCTCTGGGCATGCCAAGCTGAGGATCTGATGGATTACAACATTTTGGGGCTTGATGGGTCAAGGAGTTTTGAGGTATGGGGGGGCACAGATCCTCGTCCAAATGTTCCGCACAGTCCAGCTCCAAGGAATCTCTGCAGAACCCCCTGCACTGCCCGAGTTGGATTATGTTCTCACGTGCAAGGCTGGTATCTGTGACACTGGGGTACCCGCATAGCAGGAAGCTCAAAGCTACTTTAGTTTAACCACCTTCATCACCAAGAACTCTTATCCCCCTGCCTCCCGCATGATACGACTTATCAGTTTGGCGCAGTCCCATGCAGGGCTCTCGACGTTGTAAGAAAGGATAAAGAACAACCAGGGTACCCGAATAGTTTCCACACACTTCGCGTCGCTCAGGGAGTCCCCTGCCCGGGAACACGTCCTCACAGGACATATATAGCAGCATTTTGCTCTCAAGCATCAAGGGATGATATACGCTTGCGCAGCGGAGCCTGAATTCATGGCCCAGCGCTCAGGTAAAGGAGTGTTGGATAGGTTGGAGCCTAGGGCCTGTGAAATTTGAGCACATTGATCCTCAAGCGCAAGTACTTGCTCACCTGCCCTGTTAAGTGAGCGCGTCCCGAATAATTTTACCGTCTTAGGCAAAAAGTTTCGTAGGTTTCTTTCAGAATTCTCCGACAGTATGATATGGTCCCAATCGCCCAATGCGATAGCGGCCGGATGCAGTAAAATGAACTCCAGGGACTCAAGCTTCAAATTTGATGTTCATCAATTCCTCATCCAGGACGTTATGTTTGGGTCCCTGTGGCTGCTTGCAGGGCTTTAGACCGTCGGTGGAAAAGTGAATCCAGGAAATCTTATGTCGGTAGATGATCAGTTTGGGGGTTAGGCCGACAGGATTTATTTCGGTGCGCTGGACAGCTTTCTACTGTGATAGTGGGAGGCAACTTCGACGACAAAGATGACCAAGTCTCAGCCTCCCGCTGTGATAGTGGGAGGCGAGGGCCGGCGACGACAAAGACGACAAAGCCTGAGCTGCCCGCTGTGATAGTGGGAGGCGTGGGTCTCGACGACAGAGAGGACAAAGTCTGACCCTCCCACTTTGATAGTTTGAGCAAAGGGCTGGTGACGACAGCACTTGAGGAGGCATCCCAAAATTGTGGGTGTGCAGTGCAGCTGAGGCTCGAAGGATTTTGTATCCGGTCTCAGGTCCACGTCAAAGCCCCATGAACACTCTCAATCGGTGATTCCTGAGGCCCCAAGTCCTTTGACATGTGTTCTCGATTGCCCGTCATGCCCCTAGGTTTTTGTCCGCATAAAATCCTGGGGATAACTCTCCACGCATGTCCAACCCCTATCAATCCGCAAGTCCGAGACGGAGCCCAACTATACACTCTCAAGATCCTTGCCTGGTCGATGCCCTCGAAGGCTCTCTGGTCCCACCTCCCAAGGGCCTGCCAAGGTAATGGCAGAGGTTGTCAAAACACTCGTCACAAAATCTTTCAGACGTCTTTCAGACGGACAGACGGACCCTCGCAATCCTGCATATTCCTCAGCTCCTGCAGGATGCAACATAAAACTAGACAATACAAGGTCCATTGTTCGGCGTGGTCGAATCCGTTAGAATGGTGCCACATAGCCCTACAGCGAGAAAGTGGAACCCATTTGGAAGTCCTACACAGCTTCCTGAGATTGAGGCCTGGACATGTATGAAGGAGATGGTCCCGACGAAGCCGATCTTGCCAAGGCGTGGTCTGAACGGTGAAAGTGCGGAGTGCGGCAAGTGGAGGTTCATGGATAGCAAGTTGAACCACACATCAGATACTGTGAGCATCGGATACTCACAATTGTGAGCGTGCAGGTGTAGCCCTACTTCTGTCTGCTCATGAAGCCTCCAAGTACTGTTGAGATTGCAGGGTTTAGTGCTCATGGTTAGCAGGTGATGTCAAGGGCCAAGGCCTCCCAGGCCTCCTGACCACGGCCTCCTCACATCAGGTTAGGGCACTGGTTTGCTTTCCCTACTTTGCGGAACTTTTATGATTGGCAACGTGATCCCCAGACCATCTTTCAGCCCCTTGGCCCATCCAATGCCCACCAAGATGTCCTGCTCGGCCGTGACACAGGCCCACGGTCGTGCGTCGCATCGCAAGGTACTCCTTCGCTGGGGCACGAGCCTGAGCATGGCAGGTCGTCAGAAGTTTGCGCAACATAAAGTTTTCCCAAGGTGCAAGGTAGTAAAGGTCTCTGCAGCATGAGAGGGTCTGCAGTGGCAGTCGGCCTTAGGTCCAGCAACCAGTCACGGTGCGTTGCAGTTCTTGGATTGCCTTCTCTGAAAGAGGCATGGGTTCAAAACGCCAACCTATGGCCTTGGTGCATTAGCTGACTGGCAATTGAGAGGTTTTAAGATTCAACCCATTGTTAACCCAATGTGCATGCTCTAGGCCTCATCGGCCTATCGTACTTACCAAGCTTTCTGTGCAGGGCCGTGTGGGTCCATGCCTCAACATTGTAGCTCCCATATGCTCATACCAAGGCTAGGCCTGCACCTATGCTTTACGAGCGCGTTGCCGCTATCTCAAAAGAGCCAAATATCTACATAGGGGGCACCATACTGTGGGATGTAAATCCTGTATGCCCTGGCACTCTGCCTAGTTGTACCTAATAACGAGACAGCCTGAGGTTTCAGGGCCACAGCAGCCTGCCGGCGCATCTGCCTGTGACCTCGCGGTGCATTGGGACCAGCCAGCATTAGAGCCCCGAGGAGGCACTTCAAATAGCTGAACACATAGGTAAACAAAAGGCTTAGGATTTGGAATCCGTCACGGTGGCAGATTGGTCGGGACATGTAGTGCGCCTGCCTCGACAGGCTTGTATGTAAGCTGACTTTCTCTCTCCTCCCTACAAATCAAAACCAGCGCTGCCATCACTCAACAATGAACACACCAACTCGACGGATCTTACATGGCACTAGCCTTAATGACCATCGCGTATAATCAAAGGCAGTCATGCGCGGATAACGATCGCGATGAAGCATGAGATTTACTCTCAACCTAAAACTCCTGGCCTCTAGGCCTTAAGTCCGTCTCATACAAAGGCAGTACACCTCGTCTTCTGCGCTGCTGCTGAACAGCAGCTTCTGTCGCGATAGTTCCGAGGACTCCGGGCTTTGTGGGGGATTGTGTCCCCTTGGCCCAGAACCCATGTCTAAAACAAGCTCTATATTGCACAGGTGCATTAACGTCCTGTCCAGCCTTGAAGAGTCTCTTTGCAAAGACAGGGGACAACACATCAAGGACAGAGAGCTGTTGCTTAGGAAAGGCAAGGCGTCACAATGACAGCGGGAACACTGCGTGTGTTCTTTGCATGTACTCGTTTTTGTCGGCCGCTCGCGGTTTTTTTGGCATTTACGAAGACTCACTGCTGAGCCTACAAGAGGTTGTGTTGAATTCCAACCCAGGCTTCGCTTGCACAGGGGCCTGATGTTGCATGCCGAAACGGTACCTCATCACAGACGCAGGCCTGATGCAAAACATGTAAGACACCTGCAGCACGGGTTCTTAATCGCCACAAAAGAAGTTATGTCCCACCAGAGCGCAAATGCTACCTATGCTGGTCATGTCAGTACCAGTTGCGCGGGAGTGCCACAGTGCGAGGAATGGGCCGCCACATCTCCCTGCGCGCGCCCAAGCACGAGGCAGTCAGTTCAGGGTTGGATTCTGAATCCTGAACCCTCGTTCCTGAGGGGGCACACATGCAGAATCTGTTTGGTTTAGTTTGAGAGAGCAGGCACCGCCAGAATCACATGATTCCTCAAGCCCAAGCTCGAGAATCCCGGACATCATTCGCCTTTTCCAACATTTGCTTTTGGTGCAGGCAGCAGGTGCAGACGCCTCCAGTTGCCCGCAGCCCGCTGAGAGCTCCTATCGAGTGCCTCGGATGGATCAGTTGCCTACCATGCAACTACACTGTTCACTTCTACAAGCTTTTCAGGCAGGTCATTATTATACAGCCACTCTCTAGAAGACAGAAAGAGTATGGCCGCCAAATTGACAGGTTGCAAAGTGTCCTGATACTTGCGTAGACGGGAGAAAGGTGAGTGGCTTGGATTTGCAATTCAATTGGCTGCTTGCATCCTCAGTTAGGCACTGGACTGCTGCTGAGCTCCCACGCCATCCTCACGAGTCCCGGGAAAGGGCCCTGGAAGCCTTCGACAAGCTGTGCAAGGATGCTGCTGCTGTGGAATTGGCAGAGCTCATTGTCGGGCCCAACGAAATGATGGCTCCTGAGGAGCCCTGCCACCGAGCAAGAACTGTCGCCGACCTGCTGCTGTCGAGTTCCAAACATGGCTCAGAACCCTGGCAGCCGCCACACCTTTGCCGTCTTTTCATGCTGCGCCGGGCGCGCCGGCGCGAGCGGGCAGTTCGACAGGTGAAGACCGTACTGGCGCTGAGAGCTGAGTTACTGCTGCAGGCTTGGGATTTGGTGCGGGAGTCTGGCTTAGACTTTTGTTTTTTTTTGCAAGGCTTTACTTAGAGACTGCGGCAAGAACCCAAAGCAACAGTTAACAGAGGGCTTGCTGAGACAGGCAGTGTGCTCTGCATGGCGGAGCCGATCGCAGCTTTCGCGCCACGTCCTCCACAGCCGACTGGAGGCCCTTCGGAGCAACATCAATGCCCGGCGCAAGTCCGAGACTAGCCCGCAAGCGAAGTAGCTCAGGGCTGCCCCAGCGTACTCAGACCTGGGGTCCAGTTCTGGAAAGCTTTGTTTCTCCTAAGTTCGTAGCCATATTATACAACATGATTTCTGCTCCTGCGTATGGCTCTGCACTCCGAACCCGAAGAATCCCGCAAAAAGACGGAAACAGAGGCCTGTGACTTTGGGATCCCGCCCATGGCTTCAGGGTTTGAGGTCTTTGCGAACCCAGCGAACATATCATTT